GCAAAGGGAGCCAGCGGCAGGGAGGGGCAGCAGGCCAAGGGGGCCAGTGGCATGGGACCATAGTTCCCCCTAAGCTGTGTGGCTGCACAACCACACAACTGTTTTCTGACCTCTGCTCAGAAGTCCAAAGCTCCTGCACAGGCAAGAAGCTCAGCTGATCAGCGGTGGGTGGGGCATTGTCTTGCTGAGCAAGCAGCTCCCAGAGCAGGAAATAAAAAGCAAGGTAAGGGGAGACTAAGTGGCTAGGCAGGGGGAGGAGGAGTGAGAAAGTGGGTAATTGGGAAGGGGAGTTTGGAGAACCCCTTGTGTGTGGGAGAGGCAGAAACTCAGCACTCTTAAACCTCCTGGGAAGGGGGAGGTAAGGGGATGACTGCATGGGGTAGGTGGGGGAAAGAGGAGGTGGGTGGGTGTTGGCACTGGGGTGAGGTGGAGGCAGGGAGGTAGACGGATTGTACTGTGAGCTGGGGGAGGTGGGGATAATTTGTGCTTTAGCTGGGAGTTAGGACAGGACAGAATGCTGCTGCCTGCTACTTTGAGAAGCAGGATTTTCTCCCTGCCCCCACCTGGGCTGGGGGGAGCAGACTGCACAGCAGTAGGTGGGGGAAAGACTATATTATTGACTTTAAAAAGTATCAACAGCATGCAGACCCGGCAACAGAAGTGAAGTTAAATCTCAGTATGCCACTTCTCAAAAGGTGGCTGACCCCTACTCTAGACATTATTTAGGATCGGTCGACACTTAAAAGTTTGGTCAAAACCATTGTGTCAGGACAGCGTGTGGAAAAAAAGCCACATTTCTATTCAGATCCAGCCCCCAGTGTTGACATAGCATACTGACAGAAGAAAGTGTCGGTAAAATGTAGTTATCCTTGTTCAGGAAAGTGGTGTTCCTACACTGACAGACATCCCCTTTCCATCAATGTAGGCAACACCTGCACTACAAAATTATGTGGGCATAACTAAAATTATGTGGGCATCCAATGCAGATGCAGTAATATGAGGGCCTAAAACAAAAGCCCATGTAGCACAGGCCTGGTCTGAGGCCTAGCTATGGACAAAACATGGCTAACAAAGCAAAGCTAAGCTGTGAGCAAGAGGCAGATCTCTGCTCACAGAACTTGGCACGAACAGAGCAGAGAGAGCGAAACACTAATTGATAACAGGCCCAGGCGTAGAACAGTAATTGGCACTGGATATAAATTGAAAGCACAAAGTATCATCAGCTCATTCAAAAAGACCTTGGTACACACTCCCCACTGATAGAGACTCAGGTTCAGGAAAGGGTCTAAAATGACAGCATGATAGATAGAGATGGTCTAATCAGATCATGAGGCATAGGATGACGGGTGGTATCTAAAAACCTGACACGTCAGGAGTGATGTGTTAATTTGTTTGTAACTGTAAATAAAGTGATATGCTGTGGGAAGGGACAGATTTTGTCCAGCCAGTGAGGCAATAGGAGTTTCCCACTAGCTGTGCTGAGGCCATTGTTATGAGTACATACGCATAGTGGTTCAGTAGAGTCTACTGACAACTATTACTGTACTTCGCTTAACAATAAACTTGGCCGGATACCTTCGATCCTTATCGGATTTGTGCCTTTTGGGGGCTCTCTCAGGGTCTGCAGCGGTCATTGGGCCCACATCATTGAGCACACGCACAAGCAGCCTTCTGGTTATCATCATCCACATGTCCGGAGAGGTCTCTGGCTATCACAGCAGTAAATCTTGACCCTACTCTATCAGTGAACTTTACAGCAACAGGTAAACTGAGGCAGTCTCCCATATCATCTCAGAAGTGCAGTTGCAGACTGCCTCATTCAGTCAGGCTGCTTGCAGTGACACTGGAGCACACACTAACCATGTACAGGGCACCCCCTGATGGAAATAGAATACAGGCGACCACAGGCCAAATCTAGACCACCACACATCTCTGAATGGACCACAAAATCTTTTTATCGTCATTATCATTTTGGCAGAGTGAAAAATGTTTCTCTGGAGTATATACAAGAAATGTGGACCTTGACAGAAAATAATTGATTACCTTGGAAAAGACTGCCAATCAGCCAGGGAAGGGAATGTAAAGTTGCTGCATTGTCAGCCACAGAGTAGCGATAAGGCTAATCTGAAATGAAGAGTCACACATCCTTCCCAAAGGCAAGCAGGGGGAGAAAGTGCTTGGTGAAGATAAAGTAAAAGGTAAGTGTTATTTGCCCTTCACATAGCACAGTAGTTCCCATGGTACTGCAGGGGGTCCGTGGAAAATTTAAAAATAAGGACCGGGCCCTTC